CAGGTGAGAATAAAAATATTCATTCAGCACCTCGGTGGCCTCCCTGCTGAAATTGCGCCTCTTCCTCCTGAAAAATCCCAAAAAATCAAATTATTGGGGGTCAAAATTGAGTAAAATTTAATGTATTTATGGGAATTGATGGGGAATGTATTGAATAAAAATTGAGTTTTTAATTGCGACTCTTCCTCCTGAAAAATAAAAAAAAAATCAAATTATTGTGGGTCAAAATTGAGTAAAATTTAATGTATTTGTATTAATTAATGGGGAATGTATAGAATAAAAAATTAAATTTATGAATTAATAGGGAATGTATTGAATAAAAATTGATTTTTGTAATTGCGACTCTTCCTCCTGGAAAATTAAAAAAAATCAAATTATTTGGGGTCAAAATTGAGTAAAATTTAATGTATTTATGGGAATTAATGGGGAATGTATTGAATAAAAATTGATTTTTGTAATTGTGACTCTTCCTCCTGAAAAATAAAAAAAAAATCAAATTATTTTGGGTCAAAATTGAGTAAAATTTAAAGTATTTGTATTAATTAATAAGGAATGTATAGAATAAAAAATTAAATTTTTGAATTAATAGGGAATGTATTGAATAAAAATTGAGTTTTTAATTGCGGCTCTTTCTCCTGAAAAATAAAAAAAAAATCAAATTATTTGGGGTCAAAATTGAGTAAAATGTATTTGTATTAATTAATAAGAAATATATTGAATAAAAAAAAAAACGGATTTTTGGACTTGCGCCGTTTCCGCCTAAAAATGGGGAGAAAAATCCAGATTATTCCATCAAAAATCCTGAATTTTTCCATCAAAAAATCAGATTTTTCCATCAAATATTCACATTTTTTCCAGAATTGTCTCACCTGGTGTCAAGGACCTGAGGATCACGATGATGTCACTGTTGCTCTGCTTGATCTGAACTCACCATGGATGATTCCCACCCAAAAATATCCAGATTTTTTACCAAAAATCCACATTTTTCTATCAAATATCCACATTTCTCCACCAAATATCCACATTTTTTCTCAGAATTGGCTCACCTGGTGTCAAGGACCTGAGGATCACGATGATCTCAAAGTTTCTCTGCTTGAGCCGAACTCACCGTGGGTGACGCCCACATATAAAAATCCTGATTTTTTCACCAAAAATCCCAATTTTTCTATCAAATATCCACATTTTTCTACCAAAAATCCTCGTTTTTTCCCAGAATTCTCTCACCTGGTGTCAAGGACCTGAGGATCACGATGATGTCGCTGTTGCTCTCATTGAGCCGAACTCACCATGGATGATTCCCACCCATAAAAATATCAGATTTTTCACCAAAAATCCACATTTTTCTATCAAATATCCACATTTTCCATCAAATATTCACATTTTTTCCCAGAATTCTCTCACCTGGTGTCAAGGACCTGAGGATCACGATGATGTCGCTGTTGCTCTGCTGGAGCCGAACTCACCATGGACGATTCCCACCCAAAAAATCCAGATTTTTCCACCAAATATCCACATTTTCTCATCAAATATCCACATTTTCCCATCAAATATTCACATTTTTTCCCAGAATTGTCTCACCTGGTGTCAAGGACCTGAGGATCACGATGATCTCAAAGTTTCTCTGCTTGCACTGAACTCACCGTGGGTGACGCCCACTTATAAAAATCCTGATTTTTTCACCAAAAATCCCAATTTTTCCATCAAATATCCACATTTTCCCATCAAATATCCACATTTTTCTACCAAATATCCTCGTTTTTTCCCAGAATTTGTTCACCTGGTGTCAAGGACCTGAGGATCACGATGATCTCAAAGTTTCTCTGCTTGAGCCGAACTCACCGCGGGTGACGCCCACTCATAAAAATCCAATTTTTTCCCCAAAAATTCATTTTTTTCCCCCCAAACTGTCTCACCTGGCGTCGAGGAACCTGGACCTGAGGATCATGACGGCCTCACAGGTGCTCTGCTTGAGCTGCAGCTGGATGGAGCTGAACTTGCCCTGGATCAGCCCCACCATGCTCTGGATCTCCCGGCTGCCGATGGGGCGCGTGCGGCTCTGCTCCCTCAGCAGGTTCAGCACGTGGCTGGTGAACTCACTGCAAGCCTGGGGGAGCAAGAAAATTAATTAAAAATTGGGTTTGTTGAAGGGGAAATGGGTGGTGGAGGGGTGGGGGGTGAGGGGGAAAAAATGGGGTTGAAGTTAAAAAAAAAAATAGCCTGAAAAAAATGGGATTGGAGGGGGTTAAAGTGAGGGGGAAGTTGTGATTTTCTTTGGGGTTTTAGGCATTTCCTTTGATTTTTTTTTAAAGATTCCCTTGGATTTTAAAACGTTTGCTTTGATTAATTTAAACATTTCCTTTCATTTTTCACAAAATTTCCTTTCAGTTTTCAAAATTCCCTCGGGTTTTTTTTACACGTTTCCTTTCCTTTTTTTAAAGATTCCCTTTGATTTTTTACAAGATTTCCTTTGATTTTTTAAAGATTTCCTTTGATTTTTTTAAAACTTCTCTTTGATTTTTATACATTTCCTTTGATTTTTTAAAAATTCCTCTTGGTTTTAAAAAAATCCCTCGGATTTTTAAAGATTCCTTTTGATTTTTTTTAGAAATTCCCTTTGATTTTTCAAAAAATTCCTTTGATTTTTAAAAATTCCCTTCGATTCTTTTTTAAAATTTACTTTGATTTTTTTTTTCTCTAATTCCCTTGGATTTTTCCTTTACTTCCATTGTCATTTCCCTACATTTCTTTTGATATTCTTTAATTTCCCTGGATTATTCCTTCAATTTCCTTTGATTTCTCTTTAAATTCCCTTTGATTTTTTTCCTTCAATTCCCTTCAATTTTTTCCCTTAATTCCCTTGGATTTTTTTCCTTCCATTTTTTCATTAATTCTTTTCTTTAATTCCCCTTTTCCCCCTTCAATTTCTTTTTTTTTTCATTCCCTTTAATTTTCCCCTTTCATTTTTCCCTTTAATTCCACCACAAACTGAACAAAACCCCAAACTTCCCCCTCTTCCCCCAACCACCAAAACCCCCCCAAAAAACCCCAAAATTCCCG